ATCTTTAACACTAACTTTAGTCAATTCGGCTTACACAATAATTTCAATTTTACTTATTTTGACTATTACACAATTCAGTTAGCGTACGAAATCAAATGATACGTATTTATTAGAAAAATTGATAAATAAATGAAAAATAGAGAGTAGGTGTTATCAAACGGGCACCACGGCTAACTTCGTGAAAGACCATGCATGTTTGACAGTTTGAGGTCTGATCCTCATCTAAAAAGAAATAAAATTTAAAAGGACTGAGATGTAACAAGTGAATGTCCAGAAAAGATTCAAAGAATGATCCACCATTGGTTATTTTTTATTTCAATGGACATAACAAATGTTAAGTTATCTTTGGTCCCTTTCTCTTGCGTGTGCATAAGTGTGTTTGTGGCCCTTTTTCGTGAACATGCATCCGTTTACCCCTGTATATTTTCTTTAAAGCTAGGATTAATATCATCTACACCAAATCTATATTCATAAGCATTGCCTTCATCGGGCCTTCGGGCTATATAAAGTTATAAACTACTCCCTCCGTTCCGCTAAGATTGTCTCAGATACTATTCACTTGATCACAGAGCCGTGCGGTGCTTGAGGCAGATGAGGCTATTGCCTCAGGGTCCAAAAAATTGTTAAAATTTTAGGGCCCACAATTTTAGATATTTCTTTATTATATATATGTATTAAATTTACATATTGGGCTTCCTTTTTGCCTGTTAGAGCACCAGTTAGAAAGAACCTGGAGATATCAGATCACACTCACACACACTATGTGCTGATATATGAGAAGGGAATCATATTCTATCCAGGAACTCTGCTTTTGAATTGCCGGAGGATGCCTTTATATATAGTAGGCATTGAAACATCATTTAATTAGAACATTAAAGATACAACTTTCTGGAAAGTCTTTTCATGTATTTCAGAAACTCTTTAGTTTCCCACATTTATTTGAATTAAAACCATTTCCCAACATTGCCCAACCTTTGTCCGCTGACTCCGCTGTTGTACTTCAAAAAGGAAAACCCAAAAGTCCCTCAATTACTTTTGTTCGACCAGTTTAGAAGCGGAATAGCCATCAGCATACAAATGGAAAAGGGTTTTAAGGCGATTTGTGATTCCTTTGTTCTGGCATAGACTAATCGATCGACAACAGGGCCTTAGCTAAGGTTAATTTGCGATTCCCTTGTTCCAATCTATAGACTTAATCAATCAACATCAAGGTTAATCTTTCATCCTGTTTGCTTAGCTTCTAAATTTCTAATATTTTTCTATTTAAAGCCATAAAAGGATTTATAGCCTACCAAATATCCGTTTAGAAGGAATTTATTGAACATCTAGAATGTCGAGTTAATTAATACTTTTGCTAGCTAAAACTCTCTGGCAAGTTGTACTTAATTAGTCATTTGAATACTTTGACATTAATGTATTTTTGTATTTAATTAGTCGTTTTTATGATGTATAATCTTCAATTTCAAAGAAAATTATAGTAAAAAAATAAATAATGTATAGGGCCTTTTATTAAGTTCGACTCAGGCCCGAGTTTTAGTAGGATCGGCACTGCTTGATCAACACAAATCACTCTTAATCTCTTACTTTATATATCAAATTTGATTCTGGTTTTTGCGACTTTGTAAAGTTTATAATGTAGTTTCTGAATATGTAATTTTTCTTTCTGAAAATAATTTGAGTGCGGACAGGAATCTGTTTGTTTTATCGTCGGTCAGGCATCGTAAACCGAATTGTCCTAAACATAGTGGGACGAAGGTAGTACTACTTCATAAAATGTACTAGGTAAACTAGTCCGCTATATAATTTTCAATGATGATAAAGTTTGTACAGATGGGGTAGTACATATTTTCAACAAAGAACTACTAAATAAACTTCAAATTAGAAATACTATACAAATAAAGTACAATAAACTATGACATCAGGTTAAATACATCTACTTTGATACCTTTTAAAGAATGAGTATTCAAGTGATCATTTTGGAACAAGAGTAAGGATGTTTTTACTTGGATTGTAATTTGCCCCAGACCAGACCAGACCAGACCAGTTCAGACCAGACCAGACCAGACCAGACCAGACCAGACTTGGATAGTTATAAAAATACAAAGAAACCAGACCTTACCAGACCAGACCAGACCAGTTCAGACCAGACCAGATCAGACCAGACCAGACCAGCAAATTACAGTCCAAGTAAAAACATCCTAAGTCTGCTACTGCTGGTGACCGATGGATTCAAATGCGCTATCAACTACCAGCCGCCCACGGTAAACCCCGGTTGGGACCTAGATGCAGATGGAGGTTTGCATGATTTCCAATTCGACGAGTGTTAATTACCGGTTATTTTTCGAGGATTATATTGATACTAAATTAGACCTGATTGTATAGCAAGCGGGCGTTAGTTTTTGCATGGATGAGTGGGGGGAGGCATGGAGGAAGGTGATTAGGTGAGCAATTAAGGATCTTGCTGCCTAGAGGATGATTAGGAGGTTGGTGCTTAGCACGCATGTCATGACTATTGCTTCTTCTTGAGTTTCGGTTTTCTGTAAGAGTCCTGGTTGTAGTTGTGTTGAATGTTGTGTGTTTCGCTACTACTAAGAAAATTGCCATTTTAGTTTGCTCCTTTAAGTCTACCCACTACCAAATTCGATTCAAATGTTTATGTTTTTAAATTGGATAAATAGGCCCGTGTATTTATTTGAGTGGATCTATTGTCCACTCGACTAAAAAGTCCAAATCACAAGGGGAGACAAGAGCTAAGAAAGAAGAGATGATAATGAATTGTAGAGTTCGTATGAGTGAATATCAATTAGGATTACAAGATCTCTCATGGAGAGTATATATAGGGATGGACTGGGATGGGTCAGCCCGACATGGGACCCAACCCGACACGGTACTGTGCAGGTTCAACCCGGCCCGACCAGGCGGTAATGGGACTGGGCCCGAAGCAGCTTTTTATGGGGCGGGCTACAAGCCCTGATTTTAGTGGACCGACCCGGTCCCGGTTCAAACCCAGGCCGGTACCGGCCCTTCATCCCAAAACCCCAGTCCCGCCCAATCCCGGCCCGGTCCATGCCTAAGTATATATAGCAAAATAACGAGTCGAACCGCTAGAATGGACCCGATAGGCCAAACTACGTAAAAGGCTAATCTAGTAGATACAAATGACTACTTGGTCTCCCACTTTCTACTCAATTTCCATACTTCAGGTCCATGTTTGACACTTTACCAGATGATATTGCAAGTAAAACAAAGAATATGAATCTGTTTAGTGTGTTCAGAATGTCAATTTAACATTACATTTTACTCCGTAATTTAGGGATAGAACTAAGTAACTCGAGTGTATATAGTGACCTATTTAACCATTTAGCCTTTTGAAATGGTTTTAAAGTTGTCATATTTCGCGCCATTCCAAACCCATTTGATCAAAACTTATATTGCGAGGTATTCCAAGCTTCAAACTATACCCAACCCAAATTATTCGGTTCCAATGGCTAACCATAATAATGTTCTCTCCTGTTATAGTCATTTCCCATTGCCAAATGTTCCAAAACTCACTTGAACTATTATTGAATTTGCCAAATCCACCTACAAAATGTGCTCAATGTAATTGAATCATATACATGTGCTGAAACTTTATAGTGCTCAATGTAGTAGAGTTCAACTAAATTTCGAGACCGTAATGGGATCTTGGCTATCACTCATGCCAGTAGTTATTTAAACATACATATGTTCTTTTAAACGACGAGCCCCTTGAAAGGCACAACAAAACTAGTCTTTTGTTAATGGCAGCCTTGGCAGGTCACAACATGTTGAAGGTTATCGTGTTGACACATTTTACCCTCTTGGTGAAGCCAGTTATCATCCCGACATGGTTCTGAGTATTGCTGATAATTGCTCTATCAAACTCAAGCACTTTTCTTAAAAAAAAGCATTTCTCCATAGGGGTACTTAGGACAAGGTATATAAATCACACTTTGGAATTTACTGACTCCTCACAATCGAAATATGTAGGGGTGGGCACACGGTCCAGTCCGATCCAATATTTGGCCGAACCCGTACCCATACCGTTACTATTGAAACGGTTAGGTATGATTCAGTCTTAGACCCAAACCCGTTCGGTACGGCCCATTTTCAAACAGGACGGTACAATGTCATACCAATACCAAACAATGCCACTTTTTCGAGGTGTTTAAGAAAAAATTAAAGTTTAGCCATCCTCCAAAAAATCCACACAATTTATCAATTTTCATATTTCATACTACCTTCGTTCCAAATTAATTTGGAAAGTCAATCTTTTTTTGGTCAAACAATTTCTTTTTATTCACTTAATTAGGATTTCAATTTTTAATTATATTCTAATTTGGCCTTTCAAAATAAGTACTCCGTACTTCGTATATTCTAATTTGGATTTTACAACTTTAGAGAGATTTTAATGTGGTTTCTAAATACGTAAATTTTAATTATTAAACATTGTATTAATTATCATTAAGGAGGACTTAACATTAACTTCGACAAAAAAATGTTGGTTTTGCAAATCAATTTGGGACGGATGAGGTAATTAATATATTTCAGATAAACTATAGTAGTACAAATTTAATAAACCATACTTCGGTCCGGTACCGGTTCTCATTTAATGAGAACCGGTCATGGCATTGTTTGGAACCGGTACGGTCCGGTTCTGGACAAAAGATTTTGAGATCCGTTTCAAACCCCGTTTATCGGTCTGGTACCATACTGGTCTGGTTCGGTACCATGCCGGTTCGGTATTTTTGCCCACCCCTAGAAATATGCTTGTTTATTTTGAGTGGTAAATGGTCAAAAAGCCTTGTGGAAGCTGTCCAAGTAAAAGATTGGATCATTTTTTATTTTTCCTACACATGTTTGTACTTTTTAATGTTAAGAGAATAGAGGGGTCATGCTCAAGAAGAGGATGAACAAAATTACACTCCACCCGACAATAGCTTTGCTTTCTAGAAAAAGTTAGGGGTGGACCTGGATCAGACCGGAAGTCCGGAACCATCTGTATAGGGGTGGACCAGGATCGGACCAGAACCTTCTGTATAGACGGGAACCAGACAGGTACCCAGAACATCTCATTTCGGGTAGGGGCTGTTTAGAACTAGAAACCAGTGGAAACCAGCCTATGTCAACTCCTACGCTCATCTATTCCTCACTCAATTCCTATTATAAAGTATAATAATCATGAAAAGAGTTGAAGGAGCAACAACAACTAAAAGTAAGCACATGACAGAAAAAACTAATATGTAATGAGCAAGAATTGCATTATTATATTTATATACGGAGGATGGTTGTTGGTGTATTCAGCCCAAAACCAGAGAAGCGTGTTTTCTCCATTACCCAACAAGGCAATAACATGTATGAAATCTGAATAGATGATTCTTAAAGAATTACCTAGCCCAAATTGTATCAAGATGATCAGTAGTGATGCTGAAAAGAAAAACAGGGTGTTGAAAGGGTTATTGATTTTTGCAATGATCCGAACCGTTTGAAAAGTCACCTTACATGTTACTACGTACTCCGTATTATCTTAAAACCTAATTGTGCTGAACTGGTTGAAAAGCCACACTATAGGTAATCATTTACATGAATACATAAGACAGTGAGTTTAGTTCTTAGTGTTGTTTCACTTAGTTGAACCACAACAACTCAATCATGAATTCATAGTGATCCACCCAACTAACCAAGTTTGAATCAACTTTGCGATAACATTTTCAATAGCAAAGTGAAACTGAAGTTAAATAGCAAGGAATTTGCAACAATTAACTATTTTGCCATTTTCACAAGGTGACATAAGTAGTACATAATCACCAACAAAGCAATTAACTTCGCATCTTAAAGAAAAGGAAATTACTCAGCAACGGGTGGTTCAGACGCCAGTGCGGTGGCATTTTCTCCGGAGACAGGTGTCCAGTCGGGCGGCAGAGGTGGGAGAGGAGGGTAGAAGGTCGGTCCTCGGCGGCGGATGTCCCAAGGTTGGGACTTTTTCGGCCGAGTCTTGTTGTGGTGGGCTGTCGACTTCTTCTTCGGCCGAGACGAGCACTCTATCTTCAGTCCTCCCACACCGCCGATGCCGCTCAGAGCCGGTAAAGACACGGCAGGGACTCCGACAGGTGGCGGAGGAGAGCGGTGGAGCACCGCCATCCTCGAAATTCCTACGGCCGAGACTGACATCGCTTTCTTCTTCTTCTGCTCTCCGTTACCGTTTACCGACCATCCATAGATGAGGAGGATAAAGTGATGATCAAGATTCAGGGACAGGTAGCTAAAATACGGCGTCGTTTTTATATTGGGCTTATCGGCTATTTGCCGTATGGGCTTTTCCTAGGCCTTTTCAACCATAAGAAGCGAGAGATCCAATTGCAGAACGATCGAACCAAGGAAGATGAAGCTGCTGGGATGGTGGCTGATGCTGGTGGGAACGCTCCGATTAGCGTCGGTTTGGTTCGGGTTCTTCGACATTTGGGCTCTTCGTCTCGCCGTCTTCTCGAAAACCACAAGTATTATGCCTCTTCTTCCCAATCTCTCTGGCTTTCGCGTTTGATTGCCATTTTTCTTACTGATATCTCTCATTGATTCACAATGTGTGCAATTATGTTAATGGAAGCTTTAGCGATTCCGACTGGGTATAACAGTTTCTGTGCTTCTAGGCTAGTTCGAGTTCTATCAGTCCAACATAGCTTATTTTAATTCAAAGATTTGACCTTTATAAGATTATACAAATGATTTAGGAAATCCAGTTACCTTGTGTTGCTTAGTTATGGTCTAGATTACCTTTTGATTTTCCCATTCTCCTCTAAATTAGGTATTCTTGTATTAGTTCTGGAGTTGATAAATATATAATCTCACATTATCTTTCATGATGCAAAGATTTAACCTTACTAAGTACGGAGTAATACATTAGTTTAACCTTGTATAATCTTACATTCATGAAAAAAAGACTTGCTAAGTAAAATTTATATTGTGACAATTGATTATACTTTCATTCTTTCTCACAAACAATTATAACCAACCTTATGGTATGCAACTTTAAAGCAGTACTTGTCCTTACGAAAATGAAGCACTCCTATTAGTTTTCAATTTTCCCACTATTTCACTGGGCAATATTTTTTTTTTTATTTACACACTTACAGTTCACCTACACTTACCTGATTCAAGCTTTTGTGATTCATTTATTTTTGTGGGAATTACAAATAATGTAGTGAAAAATGATTGGTTTACAAATGTATTAGACTCCAAAAGTGTTATTAGACTCCAAAGATAAACTTTTACAAACTAGGACTGCAATTGTGGTCTGTGATTGTACTGTTGGTTTTGCAATTGCAGTACCGCCACTGCCAGCAGCAAGCTGGCAACTACGGTGCCATACAGTGGTAGAGTAGCTGGTGGTATTTGTGGTAATGCCCTCAGCGGAGCTGCGGAGGGCACTACATTTCAAAATTGAGACATCTACTAAGTTTGTTTATGGTTAGTAGTAGAATATACAACGACTGTTGTTCTTATTTGTTAAAACAAGTTAAAGACGAATTTTTTATATTGATATCTTTATCATGTCCTGTTTTATAATTTTATTTTTGTTTATCTTTTGTCATTTGTAGTGAGCGAAGTTCATGGGAGGACGTTTGGAGTGTGGACATTGTTGACCTGCACACTTTGTTATCTTTGTGCTTTTAATCTTGACAACCGGCCTTTGTATTTGGCAACTTTCTTATCTTTCATCTATGCCTTTGGTCATTTCCTCTCTGAATTTCTGCTTTATCAGACCATGGAGTTAAGAAACCTTATAACCGTCGGCATCTTTGCAGGTAATCGTTTCTGAAAAAGGTTGCTTTGACACGATCTAATGATATAGTCATGTTTCTGTGTCTAATCATCCTTCGTTCTAATGGTGATTCCGTTATACAGGAACATCTATGCTATGGATGCTGTTTCAATGGGATTCACATAAACACGTGAAGACGAAGAATGCTTAAAATCAATGTGGAGTTGTAGCCTTTCTCTTTGATATGATTTGTAAAGGTTCAACTTTGAAGTTAGAATCTAGTTCTTGTGATAATAGTGGCCAGAAAATTTGTTTCAGCAAGTTATGCTGAAACTTTAGAGCTTCATTGTTCTTGACTGTTCTTGACTATTCTGGGCAACTGAGCTCTTGTTGTGCTATTCTTAAACATGGTATAAAATTGAGATAATTTCATGAATTTTGTACGCTCATTAGTAAGAATAAAATGTGTGTTAATTTCAGTGTTCCAAGTTTCAAGGCTATTTAATATTTCTGTATTAGTCCCAATAGACTGTACCAAGTACCAAGTACATGTGCTGCCTGCTTTTTAAAATTGCCACTAACTAAATGATAAAAAAGTAGAATGTTGAGAGTTTTGCAATGGTGTTAAAAGTCATGTTCAACCACCAGTGTAAATCCTGGTAAAATAAGTGATCCAGCAATTCTCTTTTTCTGTAGTCAATGATAACAGCTCATACCTTGGGACTTGAGAATATTCAAGGCCATGTTAATTCCCAAAATTTTAGAACATGGTAAAAGAAAGATTAAAGAATGTTATGCTATTCTCAGATTGACCGTATTTCACAATAAATAATTAAGAGGCTTTTCAAAATCTATTGCTAAAATAAAATTTGTTTATAAAAATATGACAAAAAGTTACATAGCCATTTAAGTATAAAAGTTAAACAGAAGTTATTATAATTAAAGTTACTAGAATATCTACACTTAAGATGTTACACTTTTATAAATATTTTTTATTTTAGTCTTTTCAATAATTAATCTGAATTGGTGGCATTGATGGTTTGAAAATCATCTTTTCGAATTAAAAATCAAAGAAGTCTGTTACAGAAATAACAATGATCATCATTACCTCAATGCCACAAAGGTTCCCACCTACGGTGGTGTAAGGGAGGTCGGATGTACGCAGTCTTACCCCTGCACTAAATCAGAGTGACTGTTTCCGGATGATCATAGTGAAAATCGCTTCGAAATTGAATGGATTGATTGCTGCTTCATAACAAAGAAGCACAAACAGTTTAATTTAGTAAACCATTTTGCTATATCCCATCATTTTTCTAAAACCAAAAAATAGCGAGTCTTTAGCTCTAATGCAAAAGATGGAAAATGTTACAAAAATTTCAAAGCTTCATAAAAAAGTTTAGGAATTAATTTCACGTTTGATCCTATGAGTTTTATGCCAATTTCATATTTAGTCTATATCTTTCATTTTGTCCACTTTTGATATTTGACCGTTATTTCTCCACTATTTATGACCCTTTAGTTCAACTTTTCAATGCCTCTCCGGCAATTTTATTCACCAGAAATATGTTATGGACCAAAAACAATACTAGTAGTATATATACATATACTAAAAGCGGTCAATGTAAAACACGTAGACCAATTTTGGAATTGGTTTCATACTCATACGATCAGAAGTGACATTTATTCAAAGTTAAACCAGTTAAACTATTAGATTCTTTTGGAAATGCATATATTGCAATATTATTAACAAATGAAAAAAAAATATTACGGAGTATTATAATTAAAGCAAGGGATAAAATTGTTATTTTTAATACACAAAGAGTAATAGTAAATCAATAATGGTGAATTTATATGTTCACTATCAGCATCACAATGCCACTCATGTATATTTTCTAGGGAGAACTATCAAATAAGCCTTCGAACTTACATAAGAAGTGCAAATCACCCCTTATATAGAAGGCTTTGTCTGGTCGTCGCCATTTGGGGCGGTTTCCGGTAAAAAATTTGATGAATTTTTTTAGCATCTTCTTCATTAAATCTAGTTTATCCATACCAAATTTCAGTTAAAAAATGCAACCGGGAAGACAGTCAAATGATTTTCTGAAATGTATTGCGTTGTTTAACTGCGCAGTTATCTTCGAAAATTCATCTGATTGCCTTCCCGGTTGAATTTTTAACTGAAATTTGGTATGAGTAAACTAGACTTAATGAATAAGATTGTGTAAAAATGTCATAAAAAAAATCACCTGGAACCACCCCAAATGGCGACGGCCGGACAGAGCCTTCTATATAAGGGGGTGATTTGCACTTTTTAAGTAAGTTCGAGGACTTATTTGATAGTTCTCCCTATTTTCTATTATAGTGATCATGACGAAATTTATGCCAAAGCTGCAGTGGCTATATAGTCATATTTATGTCAATGAATATATTTTAATTTGCCTCTCTTTGAAAATAAATTTTACGTTTCCTTTTGTGTTTACAAAACAATTCTCCTGGCTTTATTTAAGCTAATAAATACTCCTTATCAACTTCTTTTTACCAGGAAGTGATGAAATTGTGTCAAAAATTCTATGGGATTGTTGCCGGAGTAAGTGATTTATATCATTTTTCATTTATCTTAGCCCAACTATATCACAACTATATCACATCCTTTTCAACTTCTTTCAAGGCAGAAAGATTGAGGATTGTTTTTGCGAAAGATTGTTTCAGTTTGGACAATTCAAATCAGACTCAAACAGACCAAATTGAGTTAGAGCAGATCAAATTTAGGCAATAAAATTTATTCAGTTTATAAAAAAAATTCAGTTCAAGTGAAAATATACCTTAGAAAAACCACAATCTTTTACTACGTACATTACTATCTTAGGAGTATTATTCGTGTGATCAGACCAATGATTTTCCCATATTAATGTTGGTTGGTCATCAACCAACCAATAAGGAATATAAAAACATTCTGTATACAGTATATCACAATGTAGTTAAATTACATCAAATATACCGCCTCCATGATACATCACCATCCCTCATCCAGTTATCCCAAGAGGGAAAACTCCATACTTTGATACTTGGGAATGTTTTTGGACAGATGAGTAGTCTTTCAAAGACAGGTATCAGATATGGTGTCCTAAATGACTTGCCCTATATATACCCTCTATAATGGACACATCACACATCAAAATGAACCTTAAAGATAAGTATAACTTCATTATCATCATGGATTGAAAATATAGCTACCACATTTACACTTCCAGCACATGGGCTTGTAGTTTTCTGAGCTATCTGCTCTTGATGAATATGCTATAACTTGGGGAGGAAGATCAGCAGTGATGAAGTGGTGATTTGTTCTTGAGATCTGGGGGTGTTTGGGGTCATCAATGGGGACCTGAACAGCCTCACAGTGACCACCATCACACTTCCTGCCGCGGCATCTCACTTCACATCTAGGTGGCCTTGACCCTATCAAAGATCTCATCATTACCTTCATTTCCTCTTCATATCTCACATCAAGATGAGTTCTTTCCTGTTTGGGTATATCTCTTCCTGAAAGACATACACAAGAAGGTATGGTTTAATAATTTAACAAAAAGAAAACAATCAAGATTCCGTTTCTTGTCAGAAAAACAACTGCTTGTGGAGGCATTTTCTAAAAATATTTAAATGAAATAATATTTGACCCTCAATTGTAATTTCCAGATTTGAAAGTATTTTGAAAAGAGAAAAGTTTTTTAATTTGTTAAGACACGGGGTTCAAACTTTTCCGGTGTGGGATTCTAACATAATTCTTGGCAAAAATTCCCAGGAAATCAGAAAATACTCTTCCATAGACAAACAGAGCCTAAACTGCATGCTAGCAGAGTAGCAGCTACTTTTCCAGGTTAATATGTAGTGTGAACATGGTATAGAAATGATTCAGCCACTACCTTGAGCAAGTGAACTGAGATGAGTGAAGCTTGAAAGCCAAAGGAGGAAGAGGGGGAGAAGAAGGATGAGATGATAATGGTGTCTGCAGCAAACCATTCTGACCAAGAAACAGATAGGTCAACAATTTTGAAGCTGGAGTCAACAAAGATATCCCTTGAAAGCTACTTCAGGAGCAATGAATGAATCTTCAATACACATTAATCTGCTCTAACATAGTTTCCAAGACAAGAATATCATCTACTACTAGTAGTAGTAGTAGAGTATGTGAGAAGTCTAATTTGATTTGGAGAGTGGGAAAGGGGTTGGGAATGATTATAAAAAGATCACAAAGGTTGAGGCTTTTTGGAGATAGGGACAAGTGAGGGGTTCACAGGTGTGGGCTTTCATTTCTACTCCCATTCTCCCTCCCTTTGTCCCCCTCATTTCTGTCAACCCCCAATCCCTACTTGTACTAATACCGTACTCTCTTCATGGTTCTTAAAGTTTCATTGAAGTGATCAATAAAGTAGTAAAACAATAGAGTGACACTCTGATCTTTATTAATTGAGACATATTTATCCACTTTGGGGAAAAAATAATTAACATTTCCTCTATCTCAATTTATAGGAATCAATATTGAGAGTTACTCAGTTACATGTAGCGTTGGAAGAAAATATATAATAAGTAAAGACTAAAAAATTGGATAGAACTGTTTTTCTTTTAATTATACAGATATCTTTGTCAAACGGCCAAACTATGTGCATGTCGGCATGTTGCCCATTGAAATAATTTACTACCCCGTTTCTTAAAACTTTGTCAACTGGCATGAGGATTAATAAAACAAAAGTTGTGTGGTTGAGGTTTGTGTAGAAATGAGAGAATTAATTGGAACCACATATTCTTTATTTAAAAGCGGAAAATGGCAAAATTAGTGGGGCAATCAAAAAAGGAAAGTTATCAAAGTTTTAAGGAACATGGGGAGTATAAATGAAATGACTTTTGTAAAGTTTTGATTCTAGTCGACCGAGCTGGTTATGACATAGACATATGAGCAAAATAGTCATTTCACTTGTGTGTTGCACGAGATATGATTTCTTCATTATACAGAGTATTAGATAATTTTAGAAGTATAATAATGATTATACATTGCAACATGTTCAATGAAGATTATATATAAAACTGTAGAAGTGAAATTAAAATGAAGATTAGAAACAATTTCTAATGAGTTGGGCTTTAAATTTTTCGAAGAAATGATAATGTACAATCAGAATATGTGAACCTCCCAGTTAGATGTGTTGTGAATTGCATTTTTAGATGGTTCTGATCTTGATTATTGATTTTGAATTTGAAATTTACTTTTGGTTTGTTTGATACAAGAGATCAAAGAAGAAAGTTATACAAAAGAAAATAATAAAAAAGAAAACCATTCAATATTATGTATTAATAGGATTGAGAATGATATTGTAATTCATCATGAATTTAAGTCAATATTATGTATTAATAGGATTGAGAATGATATTGTAATTCATCATGAATTTAAGTCAATATTATGTATTAATAGGATTGAGAATGA